GTGCCACCCCCCGGACGGGCAGGGGGGACGGCGGGGCACGTTCCCACGGGGTGAAAGGTGCCCTCCGCCCCCTTCATCCCACCCTCGGGCGGGGCGGGATTGGTCACACGAGTCCTTGAACTCCCCACACTTTGGGGGAGCTGCCTCCTTTCCTTTCCCCACAGCCCCCCTCCCCATCAGCCAGACACTCCCCTCTTCCCCCCCCCCCACTCAAATACCAGCTGCACAATCACACAAGTTTGGGGTTTTTTTTGTGGTGGGGGGGGTTAAGACTTCTTGCTAATGCCTCCTTATACTTTTAAAGAGCCTCTCCCCCCCCATCCCCATCCCCCTCCCCGCCCCCCGGGAGCTTCCCTCCGCCCCCCCCCCCATCACTCACCAGCAGGGAGATGCTCCCCTGGACCAGGAACAACAGGCAGCCGCGAGGCAGCTGCATTTTCAGCCGGTGCCTCTCCTCCTGCCTCGCGGTGCCTGGGACTGAAGGGGGGCGGGGAGGTGTTGGTCCTCTTATAAGCGGGGCTCCTGGCTCCTACGGCCCCCCCCAGCCCATGATCTGTCTGGCAACTCCCTCCCAGATCGGCTGCTGGGCAGAGGCAGGAGCCAGTAGCCGCCCCTCGTTCCCTCCATGTGACGATCTCTCCCCTCTGCTTCGTGGCAGACTCTGTGAAACTCTCCTACCTCGCCCCCCCCCCGGCACTGTTCGCACCCTCCCACCGCCAGGTACCTGCAGCACCTCCAGGCTTAACCCTTCCCTGCCTGCACCGCAGCTGGACCCTCCAGAGGGCAGGCTCTGGACACTTTCTCAGTGTGGAGAATGCTCCAAAGATGACTCGAGACCAGCGCCCCCATCAGTGCCTGAAACTTCTGGGGGACAGGAGAAAGGTGAGCTGGAAACGTCTTTGTCCGCCGGAGCTCCCCGTGGGATCAACATGCTAATGCTGAACAGAGGAGGATGAACTGTGAAAGGTAAGGAAGTGAATGAAGTTTGGGGAAAGCAAACCCAGGATAACTGATTATCCTCCAAGCCAGGATAATACCAACAGCCAGGCTTATATCTTTACTCAGTACCTGGAGGAACTGGTCTCCCATTGCCCTGCTGCAGTGACTTCCAACCTTTGAGTCTTAAGGCCTGGTCTACACTACGACTTTAATTCGGATTTAGCTGCGTTAATCCGAATTAATCCTTAACCCGTCCACACAACGGAGCCAGTTACTTCGAATTAAAGGGCGCTTAAAATGGATTTCTGTACTCCACCCCGACGAGCGGAGTAGCACCAAAATCGATTTTGTTAATTCGAATTAGGGGTAGTGTGGCCGCACACCACCGAATTAATGTGGTTAAAATTAATGGGGTAGTGTGGCCGCACACCACCGAATTAATGTGCTTAGTGTGGCCGCGCACAATCGAATTTATACAATCTGTTTCCCAAATTCGAATTAATCTCGTAGTGTAGATGTACCCTTAGGACCACAAAACAGGAAACAAAGTTTGGGACGCTCCTCTCACTGTAAAGGCCAGGGAAGGGTAGTCAGGACCTGGCTGGGACCTATTCATGAACCTCTGAATCCAATGATCACTGTTAGACTTGGCTGGGAATTTTTCAACCAAAAGGTGTTTCATCCGCAAATGCGGATTCACAGGCATTGATACTGTTAGGGTTGGGAAAAAAAAGTCTCAGAGTTGTCCAAATGTTTTGACGTTTTCGTAATGACTTTTTGTTGAGAAGTTTAAGCTAATTGCAGTAAAAAGCAGGTTATTTGTTTAGGTTTTTGGTTCATGAAAATTTTTTGAGCTCTATTTTTCCCCTTGGTGTATGGAAGTGCAGAACAATATAATTGTTCCTTGTCACTAACTATTTCTTGCACAAGAGTGGATAAAGTTGGGGGTGGTGGGGTGGGGAGGGAAGAGATTTGAAAAAATAAGCATGGAATAAATGCAGAGAGATGATCTCCAGGTGAATAGTCCAGGAATGGAACCTGTATACTTCTAAGAGACTTGAGAAGCAGTGCGGTCCAATGCCTTGGCCATTGGGTTGGGAGTCTGGAGATCTGTTCCCAGCTGTGTCACTGACTTATTGTGTGACCTTGAGGGAGTCACTTTCCCCTCTGTTTTCCCTGCCACCCTTTGGGTGTCTTGTCTATTTATAAACTCCTCCGGATGAGATGTCTCTCTTTTACGTGTATGTACAGCGCCCCTAGTGCAATGAGGCCTTGATTTCAGGCACTACCATAATATTACCACCATGAAAGCCCTGGTCCGTACTATTGAAAATCAATGAGAGCTTTGCCATTGTCTTCAATGTGCATAGGATCAGGTCCAAAGTAGGCATCAATTCAACTTGGCGTTTAGCTTGTCAATTGTTCATAAAATATGAAGCGCTATAAGATGTAGCTAGTAGACCTTAGTTTATCATGTCTTACAATGTCCAGAGACCTTGAAAGAACAGTAGTTAACTTTGTGGTGTTTTTGTTTAGTTGACCTGGCCACTGGAGAAACCTTTGAAGTTCACAAGACTTCATTTATTTTGAATTTCAGCTGTAAGCCCTGCTGATCACTGACTGGCTTGGAAAACACCACATGAAATCAGCGTAGTGAATAACCTACCCCAATGCACAATCATAACTTTGACCCCTCCCCTTCCCATTTTTTGTAGTAATTTTCCCCACCCCCTTCTCTATAACATTTAAATGGCCAATGCTTGATAATTTTAGCTCTGGCCTGATCTCCTCTCCCTCCTGTGTCTGAAATTCACAAGAGGCAAGGAACTGAAGAAACATAACTTAATTCCCCCAAAGCCACTTTATTTGTATTTATATTATCCCAAAATTAAACCGCCACCCCAGGCTCTGACGCTCTTTAAAAATCTAGAACTTCACCAGTAAAATAAACAGTCCCCACCGATTGCTTCCAGCCACAGCTAAGAGAGAAAAAGGAACAGTGGTTTAAATCAGTCCATCTAGGTTGCATCATTATGCTCATTTCACAGATGAGGAAACTGAGGCACAGAGAGGGGGGGAAATGACTTGCCCAAGGTTACTGCAGCAGAGCAGTGGCAGAGCCAAGAATAAAACTCAGATCTCCTGAGTCTCAGTCTAGTGCTCTTGCTACTAAGCCACAGTGTCTCCCACAACAATCCCACCAGAGTTGCCTCTCTCTCCCTCTGCATCCTCACTAATCTCCCTCCACCTTGCAGCACATCCTGAAGATTAACAAACTATGGATCAAGGAAAGCGAATTCCAAAGGCAGGGGGTACTCGCGGAAAATGCCCTGCCAGCAGCCCCATCTTTATACCAATGGGGCCCCAGCTCAGGCGACACAGGCAGAAAGGCGGTCTCTCCGAAGGTAGGTCTCAGGCCCTTTGGGGCCAGGGGAGATCAAAAAGGACAAAGATCTGGCATCATTTTTAGCAGATGCGGAGTTAGTCATGCATTCAGGGTGATCTTTCTGCTGCTTATGTGGGGGTATATAACCTGTTGGCTTTTTAAACCTTAAATGAAGGTGAATAAATAAGGGACATTTTAATCTCACCTTGATGCCTGGGGATTGAGTCATCCTGTCGTCGATGTTTAGTTATGGTGACAACTTGTCATGGAAGCTTAATACCCCGTGTTATGGTTTTGGTGCTGAGTTTACAGACAGCGTTGAAATTTTCTTTTGGAGGAAGGAGATGGGCGAGAGCGCCCTCTAAACTGAAAGGGGAGAGAGGAACAGTGTTGGATGATCCTAGCAGATATAACCAGGAGCAATGGGACCCAACCAAGGATGAATCCCGAGTAAAATTTTCCTAGCAGAAATTAAACGGTTGAATACTCATCCTAGCAAAATGGTGGAAGTGTGACATTTAAAACCTCATTGGACAATGATCCTGTCCTTGTCCCTGTCCTCATGGCTTGCATGTCTCTAACCACTATGATTCACATGGAGAATTGCTGCTCTTTCCTTGGTGGGGTTCTGTGGAGAGGGGAGGTGGAGGACTTTGAGAGTGTCCCCTGGTACGCAGGAAGAGCTGGTGCAATGTTACATCACGAATCATTTCACCCGTTGTGTTTGCAGAGTTGCAGCGTGGAGGCCTTTAGCTTTTCAGAAAGTGCTGGTTGAGCAAGGCTTGAGACCAGTTTGTCTAATCCAGATCTGCAGAGCCACCTGGTGGGTGGCCCAGAGGCTTTCGGGAATTAATCCTGCTGGATTCCTGTAGTGTGGTCAGTTCTGGTGGCAAACACTCCTTCCTTGTCTAGAAAAAGATACTTCTTCCTTTTTCCTGCTGAATCCATTTAACACCATGGGGCCTTGATCCTCCTCACAGGGGACATTTTAAAAATGGACAGACGTGTAGAAGTTGGAGATGGAAAAGCACTCTTAGGAGAGGGAGCCTGTCCAGTGGGAGGTGTGCTGGCCTGGGATTTTTGAGACTTAGGTTTCATTCTCAGCTTTACCACTGACCTGTGTGACTGTGGGCAAGTCACTTCCCTACTCTGTGCTTCTGTTTTCCCCTCTCTGTCTTGTCTATTTCAACAGTCAGCTCTTCGGGGCAGGGGCCATCTCTTACTAGGTGTTTGTACAGTCCCTAGCACAAAGGGACTGTAGGTGCTACTGTCATGCAAATCGTAATCATCCAGTCCATGTCCCTGGGGCCAGTGCAGGATTTCTCCCTATGCCGTGTTTCTAGCATTTTGTGCAGTCTGGTTTTACCAAGTGATTGGATCTTTCTAGTGGGACATTCTGATGTTGTTTAGGCCAGCATTCGTGGAAGTCTGGCCCATAGGAGGGTGGCTGGCTTGTTGAAAAACTCCAATCATTCCTATTCTCTGCTCGAAATAATGTCTCTGCTCTTGCAAAGCCTGGCTTGTGGTTGGAGGCCCTTTCCTGTGGGGTGTAATAAGAATGGGTCTTGGGTGAGGGATGAGGGCAACAGTGCAAGTTCTGGGTAACGAAGAGATAATGGCTAATGAAGTGTTTGACAAAGGTAACGGTGGTAGCTGGATGACGGAGGGATGTCAGTTGCAATGGACTATTTTTCAATGTGTTGATCATTGCAGAATTGTCTAGCTATAGGTTCCCTTTCTGGGTTTATGCTGCCCTCTAGTGGATCTCTTTTACCTAGGAAAAACTTAATCAAACCAAAATGTATGTACAGGCGAGCCTCATCTTACGCTGGGGTTACGTTCTGCTGTCAGTGCGTAAAGCGAAAATTGCGTATAGTCAAAATTACATTGAGTGTAATGGCAGGTGGAATCGCTCGCACTACAGGTACAGTATTTAAATTGTTGTTTTGTTGGTTTTGTTTTTTGTTTTTGCCGACCGCGCAAAGCTGAATTCGTGCATGTTAAATGCGCGTAAGATGAGACTCCCCTGTAAGTGCTGTGGGCGACTGGAGTGGGGGCTTGCAATGGGTGGAAGGCGCTTGGAAAGCTGTGATGTTGAAAATGACCTTGGGGAAATAGTGGAGAGCAAATTAGACGTGACTTAGCAATCAACCAGGGTAGTGTATTGTCTTTTCTCTCGGCACAACAGTAATAGGAGGAAACCACGTGGACACAGTTGGGATCCAAATAACTGTGTTTATTAAC